ATGAACTAGCTGCTTATCATAATCTTTTTATTTATAAATAACCACTGTGGAAAAAAGATACCTAATTCGATCGTTGATATTATCGAAATGAATCCCATCTTTATAAGTGTGTACATGAGCAATTGATGACAGATTCACAATTCTGCCTTCCACACCAGTAGTTCTAGCAGTGTTCTTCATTTTCTCAAGAAGAAGGTTTGTTAAGAGAAAATGACCTGTAAAATTGGTAATTGGCTTAACTAGAATGCAAATAAGTAACAAAGGTTTAAAACCCCTTTTTTTCATAAATATTTTTCCCAAATCAGGATATGAGATGGGCCTTACAATAATCCCCAATTCAGAAAGCAAATAAGTAGGACCTACCAAGATGATTGGTTGCAAACTGCAATTCTATTCCATCTTCCGAAAGCCGGTGGGGGCAGAACATGACACCAGCATTGTTTCTGCAACATAAACCACCAATTTCTGAAAAACTGAATAAGATGCAGATGCTAAAATGTTACATGAAGCCTAAATAAAATAAGAGAGAAAAAGATCATTACATTAAGAGGTTGAGAGGAAGATCAAGAGCATTGAAGCTGTCAACAAATGCTCTAACAGACTTGATGGAGCAGAGGTCAAGTGTTAGAACATCAACTCGAGCACTTAGATTGTCTTTAAGAATGAGCTGCTTTGCTTCCTTTGCAGCCTCTATGTTTCTGGCAGCAATGATGACATGGGCTCTGCGAAGTGCCAAGACCCTTGCAGTTTCCAACCCAATCCCACTTGCCCCACCTGCATTTCACAAACAGGGACAGAAATGTTAATCAAACAGAAGTGTTGTTGTTGGCTTTTTGCTAGCTACCCAAGATTTATCATGATAATGATTCAATGCATCTGATTAGTAGTCTGAAAGAGCCACAGAAACCCAAAAGAATTGCCATTAAGAACAAAAACACAGAATTCAAAGAGGAAAAAGCAAAAGTTATAGCTGACCAGTGACAATAGCAGTAAGGTTGCTAGCATCAACGGTAGTCTGAAAGAGCCACAGAAACCCCAAAAGAAAGGCCATTAAGAAACAAAAACACAGAATTCAAAGAGGAAAAAGCAAAAGTTATAGCTGACCAGTGACAATAGCAGTAAGGTTGCTAGCATCAACTCCTTCAGTGACCTGCTCAGCAGTGGAAGCTGATCCAAACCCACTAGGCCCTGGCCTTCCTGTCACCAATGCAAAGATACCCATTTCCTAAAATCACACAAAAGACACAATCCCAATCAGAAAACTCACACAGAAGCACAGAGCAAGTTCCCCTGTTTTTTTTTTTCCTGTCGCTCCACAAATATGTGAGACAAACTGATAGAACCCTCTCTTTCTTATAACATTTGGGAACAAAGCCTTGGGAGAGGGGTAGAGGACAAAAGAAAAAAGATGCCTCGAACCATAAGATGATAAGAATAAAAAATTTTTAAAAAAAAGAAGAGGAAGGAAATGCATGGGAAATTAATATGAGTACGGGCTGGTTGAATGTAGGTAATAAATTGGGTTCAACTGGAGCTACTGCATTGTTGACAAGTATTAAATGCTCTTGGGTGAAGAGATGTTAATTGGCCTCAACCAACCCCTCAACAGCACATCAATGTAGCTTTCTTTGGAAAATTGAAAGCCATTATCCTTGAATTCAGTGCTGTTTTTTTTTGGGTATTCTTCCTCCATCAATTTTATCATCAACTTGTGTAGAATGATCAACCTGATTATGATTGGTGTGCCAAGGACTTAGTCTAAAGTAGGGAAGTCGAGGGTTGCGTTGCATGCACAATCACAATATATTTACCATTACATTGTGTGGTGATATGAAACCAAACTACCCAACAACACCAACTATGTGCTATATATAATTATGAATCGATTGGATCCAACTGGTCCCAGCTTGGAATGATGGAACATCTTCATCATGATCAGCTTGCTTGAATGGACCGTGCTTCCATTTTGTAAAAATAAAGAGTTAAGCAATCTAGGTTAGATCCTTTTTTTAACCGCAGTCAAATTAGTCAACTGATAAGCGATGCAGTTTGAGTCACAGTTTAGTCAAATAAAACGCCATTGTAATTTCTAAACATCTAACATCCTAACTAATAGTCAAATAAAAATAATAGAGATATTTGATTCGGTTTAGGCGGTTTTCATATAGATTTCTTATCACCATTCATGAAAGTGTTAATTTGCATTGCTTAAATAAATAAATAAAATTCATCGTGGTTGTTTTGGTGCTGGGGAACTAACTAAACAGGCAAAATGCATGTGAACATCCACCAATCGTGCGTTCCCACTTGATCCCTCTCCCTCTCAGAAACCAAAAATTGTGTCTTAATGCGTCTTCATTCCTTTCTTGACTCACCAAAATCCTAGTATTGTGAACGCAGGAATAACATTCGGGCATTAATTCTTTGTTTCTGTCAACCTTAAAAGCATAAATAAATCAGGAAAAAAAATGATTTTTTTCTTTTAATATAAATGATAATCTAAACTGTAAGAGTAGAGAGTTTCTCACACGCATGTTGAAATTTGAGGTCGCTGATATCTGCGTTAATATCTTTTTCCAGTGAATTAGACCTGTCAACAAAGAAGAAAGGATTTAAATTATGCTGGTTCATGCATTGACATTAAATATACTCATGCTCATCCAATCCTCTGAAATGTCATAAAAGACTGTAGACATGGGCATGCGTATTGGCTACAGTGACTGATCCATCCGAGCTAACAGTGCTGTCTCTCTCTGCAGTATTATTGTAACTTGTAAGGCTAATCCTTTGAGGGTCAAGAATAGTCCATGAGAGAGACCACAGAAAAAGAGAGTATGGAGCTATAAAATATGACCCCTCTCCCAAGTTCCAACTAGCTCTCTTTACCAAAACGGTGAAGATGCTTGGATGTCAAAATTCATTTTGTGTTTCAATACCTAAATTTGAAAATCAAATTGATTTGATATTTAGAATGAGGGAAGCAAAGTATTTGATTACGAATTTTAACGTGAAATTTGGTTTTATTTTTTCTTGACTAACATGCCTAATTCAAATTCGACGTTAATTCCAATATCGAAGTAAATGAACATGTGATTGATTTTCCTTAATTTTACAACTTTATGGTTCTGGTGTATGAGACGGTACAATAATACACAAGGTGTGTGAAACTTATCTATATTAATAAAGTTATCAGCTTTTTAAAACTAGGCTATTCAATAAGGAGGTCCTAAGGCTTTAATTAAAATTTTAAAATCAGCCGAACTCAACCTAATATAATTGACTGCATTAACACGCATGTGGGGGTTGCTTTCTATCAATGGGATCACAATGCAACTTCAACTTGTATCGGTTCCCTTTGCAATACTATAAAATCGTATTTTTTTTTCCCGCAAAAAAGGAAAAAGAAAAAAGAGAAATTGGCATAGTTAAGAATTTCTTCTCTCTCTCTTTTTCAATTATATAAATTATTTTACATATTTATTTTTTTAATTACAAAAATTATAAAGGTAAAATCGGAAAGTTAGAAAATAATTGAGAATTACACTTTGTTGACAAATATGGAAATTGGGGCCTAGTTCCAAAAATTAATTTATTTTTTTTTCCGCAAAAAAGGAAAAAGAAAAAAGAGAAATTGGCATAGTTAAGAATTTCTTCTCTCTCTCTTTTTCAATTATAGAAATTATTTTACATATTTATTTTTTTAATTACAAAAATTATAAGGGTAAAATCGGAAAGTTAGAAAATAATTGAGAATTACACTTTGTTGACAAATATGGAAATTGGGGCCTAGTTCCAAAAATTACTAAAAATAAGATGCCAATGATCCATCTACCTACCAATTCATTCCAATTGTCCCATGTGAGTTCCTAATCAGCCCGTTATAGAACATAGTATTTATTTGAGTTATTTACACTAATACCCTATGAGTGTTTTCACAAAATCTCCTTAGGTCTCAAAAATTACACGAACACCACCCCCTGAGGTTTCAGTTTGTTTTCATAAAACTCATTTTCGTTGATTATTTGTCCAAAAATTAATGAAAAGGAATTTTGTGAAAACAATTTAAAATCTGAAGGGGTGTTCATGTAATTTCTAAAATCTTAAGAAGTTTTGTGAAAAAACCAAAAACCTCAAAGGGTGTTAGTGTAAATAACTCAATTTATTTTCCTTCAATATTTAATGCAGGGGTAGGCATATTTATTTACAACGTTTTTTGGGAGAGAAATGTTACGGGCTTGAAATCATTTGGGGCTTTTATTGTAATTGAAAAATAATCATTTGGGCCTCTTTCAGTATCTAGCAAAGCTCTAAGCCCATTTGTCTCATTCTTCTGAAATCTTTTCCACTTCTTTCTTTTGAATGTGGTAATATTCAGTTTCAAGATCCAAAGTTAGAATGGGCTTATGGGCCTAACGAATATTGTATAAAATATTCCTTCCCCAAGCCATTGCCTAATAATGTGAATGGAAAAACAACTCAGGAATATTTTTGACTTTTTATGGCAAATATTAGTATCGCATACATGCGACTTCTCGAACTAATAAGGTTAAGTCAAAATGTGAGTTAGAGAATATACAAGATCTCAGTCACCTTTTTTATAACCAAAACATCTAATTTCATTGTACACTCTAATATACGTGAATTATACGTACTCTAAATTAACAAAAACAACTGAAAGACGTGGAATTATAACTTTTCAACAATTTGCTCTGAAGTATTTTCGTCACCATAATTACCCGTTTCATATTTCTTTTCCGGACTTACCAATTTATGAATCTTCTTCTTTTGACAATCGTTCATACTAGAGTGAATAAAAGAATTGTGTGTGACGATTTAACAAGATGATGAAATAAAAGATCAAATAAAATGAAAGTCGAATGAAATGATGGGCCATTTACAAAAGAGCAAACAAAACTGTCACACAAAATACGTTAACCAACCAATCAAGGAACGTTTTTTTTTTGTTGAAACAAATTCATAGGAAGGAACAGAGAAGTAAAACTAAAAATCACCGCACGTGCCACCCTTGTGACATGCAGCCAGAGAGCAGTGGACTCCATCTGTTCTTCTAATCCATAAAACTATAAAAAGTGTTCGACGAATTAACGCTGTCGGTGTTCCCCTCATTCTAATTCCTCTCCCCAAACAGGGTGACATTCCGCCTCCCTTCCTCTCAATTAAGTTCTCTCTTCTTTTTTTTTCTTAAATTTTGATCTCAATTTTTTGATCCGATTTTGTACAATCCGATTCAGATCGGAACGGATCGTACCCCCAAAAAATGGCGGCATCTCGGCGGCTCCGGGACCTGCAATCGCAGCCAGGGAACAAGATCTGCGTCGACTGCTCCCAGAAGAACCCGCAATGGGCTTCGGTATCCTACGGCGTCTTCATGTGCTTAGAGTGCTCCGGCAAGCACCGCGGCCTCGGCGTCCACATCTCGTTCGTCCGATCCGTCACCATGGACTCCTGGTCCGAGATCCAGATCAAGAAGATGGAGTCCGGCGGCAACGAGCAGCTCAACACCTTCCTCGCCAGTTACGGCGTCTCCAAGGAGACCGATATCGTCACCAAGTACAACACCAACGCCGCCAGCGTCTACCGGGATCGGATTCAAGCCCTAGCCGAGGGGCGTCCTTGGCGGGACCCACCCGTCGTGAAGGAGAGCCTAGGGTTCGGGAAATCAAAGCCACCTTTGGCTCATGGAGGGGGCGGCGGCGGCAGCAGGGGTGGTAATTCGGGGAACAATGGGGGGTGGGATAGTTGGGACGACGACGGTTTCAGATCGTCGAACGATATAAGGAGGAACCAGTCGACCGGCGATTTCAGAGCTGGTGGTGGTGGTGGTCATGGTGGTCGTGGGGGTGATGGATATGGAGGAAGCATGCCCGCCAGGTCGAGGTCTAGGGAGGACATTACGAGATCGCAATTTGAGGCCTCGGCGGCGAACAAGGAGAGCTTTTTCGCGAGAAAAATGGCAGAGAACGAGTCTCGGCCGGACGGGCTCCCGCCCTCGCAGGGCGGGAAGTATGTCGGGTTTGGATCGAGTCCCGCGCCTTCCCAGAATCATCAGAATGTGAATGCGCAAGGCGATGTGTTATCTGTTGTTTCTCAGGTTGCATTATATTTGTTTTTGTGTTTATTTTGATGTGTGATTGATTGTGGCTGGAAATGGCTGAATATTGATACACATTACATGTATGTTTTTGGTTTTGCACTTTTGTCATTTGAATAGGGTATTGGTAAGTTATCTTTGGTTGCTGCGTCTGCGGCTCAGTCGGCTGCGAGTGTAGTCCAGGCAGGCACGAAAGAGCTCACTACAAAGGTATTTTACTTGTCACTTTTAATTTTGTTTGATGTTAGATGACCATTCTGCCAGGCATAGGCATTGTATCTCTGTTCATGCATATTTATTCTGTCTTCTAGTTCCAGTAGAGTTGCTGGTTTGCAATTTCTCTTATAGTGGTAGTTCGAAATTATTGAAATGCTATGCACGAAGAATTCATTGTTGTGGTTATTGAAATGCTATAGACGTAATGGTTTAATGCTTATATTGAATGCTGTGAATGGAGGAACTTTGTATGTGTACTGCGTTTCTTTTGGCTATGTTAATAAGATGATATATGTTTGGCGCCACTGTTTCTGTTTGTATGTGCTTTTGTCAGTCCAATGACATACAACTTCATGCTCCGTGCCTGTAATATGAAATGTATTTGGAGCTAGGTAATTCTAGCTCTACTGCAATAGAAAACAGAAATAAACTAAACTAAACTAAAACTAAAAGATCTCTTACTTTCTAACGTAACTAATATCAGGAACTCATTAAAAATAATTCTATTTCAGCTTTCCATTTGGATCACCTTTAGAGAGGGACAAGGAATAGAAAATTGGTAGTATTCTGAATGAAAACGCAACATTCTCTTTATTCTTTCAAATAGTCCGATAAGTTGGGTGAACAGCCCTGAAAAAGCTACCTCTGTTATTCATTTTCACCCTTTTTCACCATTTCTACTATTTTTTAACTATCAAATTCCAAATTTAATAGGTTAACTCCTCAGAACTTGAAGCTAATGACTTGCTTCATGGATGTAGTAAACACCTCATAGCGTCTTGATCTCCCGTCTTAACATATCAAAGTACCATTATAAATAACGCCTCCATTTGACATAAAAAACAATTACAAAAACACTCTAGCTCAGCCCTCTCGTGGTGTCAATTACTGGCAAACCACCACTGATAGTCATTGTTTTAAGTAACAGCCAGATTAAATATTATTCCCCCATGGGTATTAGATCAACCTAAATATCCTGAGGTTTGAAAATTTATGAACCCGTTACCATACTACAAATGCAAGGCTATTTCGAGGGGCAAAAAAATCTATTATGAGGAAGACACATCTTGGTAGTAACCCGTTACCTTCGTTTTCTATTTGTTTTCTTTCTTTTTTACATTGCTTTGAGTTTTGAGAAAGGTTTGTGTGTTTTTATTCTTCATCTCTATAGGGGTGTGTGTGTGCAGGGGTGAGAGAGAGATTTGTGTTATTTGCTTTTGGATTACCTAAATATTCTGCATTTTTTTTTTTTACAAGGAATGCATATATTGTAAGCTATCTTTCCAATTTCTGAACTTTGAGAAAGGAGTTGTGTGATTAAACTCTTATAACAGGTGAAAGAGGGTGGCTATGAATACAAGGTGAATGAAACTGTTAATGTTGTCACTGCAAAGACTACAGAGATAGGACATAGGACTTGGGGGATTATGAAAGGGGTCATGGCAATGGCTTCACAAAAGGTTGAAGAGTACACTAAAGATGGAACAACCTGGAAGGCTGATAATAACTGGCAACGAAATGATAGTGAGCAAAATGGATATTATCAAGAGTTTAAACAGGAGAATAAACAATGGAATTCTTCTGGAGGGGTGCAGTCATCGAGTGGGAATTTTAATTCTTACGGCTCGAGTTCTTGGGATGATTGGGACCAAAAAGACAATAGGAAGCAAGAGACTACTAAGGGAACGGGATCCAATAGCAGTGACGGTTGGGCTGGCTGGGATGATGGCAAAGACGATGGATTTGATCATTACCAGAGTGCATCTGTTTCAAAGGCTGCTGGTCACAATGGGAAATCGGATTCAGCGTGGACTGGGGGAGGCTTTAACTAAGGTTAGTGTATCCTGAGGAACATACTTTCATTGTAATTTGAAACTTCTTCCCTGTTTTGTCCTTTTTGTGTTTAAAAGTAGATTGTATGTTCACCACAATGCTATTCCACCACTACAAGAGGTTGCTAGAAACGTTATTTGTCTTGAATTGTATTTGGCTATGATATGCAAGTTTTGAGACTCATTCCTGTTTCGATTGTGTTTTGCTTTGTGTGTCCATGTAGAATCTTACATGGTCTCAACAAATTTCTGGTTGACCCATAAGTTGCGGACACAAATTATTAGCACGCAAATTGAAGGCTGCCAAGATTGATGCCTAAGGTGGAGGAAATGGAATTTGGTGAATGTGGAATTTGTTAGCAGCTGCTGCTGCTGACTAATTGGTTGGTTGGTGATAAATTGGATTTGAGATCCATTTCCATGGAAAAAGACACTTTTGTTGAGTTTAGTATATTTGCAGAAAACGTTTTTTTTTCCTTTCTTTTTCTTTCATCTTTAAAAGATTTTATGTAACTTAATTGGGGATATTTGGTGTTTTCAAAGTTGTTTATATCTGTACAACTATTCACAAGAGGGTTAATTGCCCAATTCAAAAGAGTACTGAAATGTTCGAATTTGTTTGTGAGATTTGAGGAATGAAAATTTCTTTTAATTTGCAATGGTTCTAAGTATGTTACCCTAATCCTTCATTTGTGTTCTGATATGTTTTCTCCGTTTGAAATCCCAGTAATCAGCAATCAATTGAAGGCATTTTCTTTGTTGAATTATTGGCATGGTATAGTTCTCGCATCCTCAATAGAGTAATTTATTGCTATGAATAGCACCATTCCGATGCAATGTCCTCCGAGACCAAGAACAAATAGTTTGCATAATATAAAAACTACATTCTGTCACTCGAATCTTAACCCGGCATCCTGCTTCCTCTCTGTTCTTCTCAGTTCTACTGCTTTATTTGTTTCACATACCCTACAATAATCTTAAGCGCTGATTCCATCCTCTGGTCATAAAACTAGGGGGTTCTTTTTGTTTTCTTAACTTTTTACAAAGGAGATAAAACTAGCAAATACATTGACCGATCAGCTAACATTATTAACAGAATTGAACTAAACTCCATTATTCGTAATTTTCCTAACATGTGGAGTCTGCCTCGGCTAATGACAAACTAATTTACATAGCTACAATTACAAATCCTGGTCCCTAACTGCCTTCGATCAATTCATTTTTTACTTCGTGGTGTTTGTATCACAAGTATGGAGGACAGGATCCCATGTGAGGACGAAGCTAATGCATCTCCAATTGCTCCCAGTTCAGCATGCTCCAGCTGCTGGTGAGCCAGTTCTGCAACCATGGCTGGATGGTGCTGCTCTTTCCCCACGATAACCAGGTCACATTCCGTGCTCCGAGCTATACTCACTACCGTCTCTGCAACATTGCCGGCCATCACCTTCTCTATGTATTCCACTGACTCATTATACCTCTTCAGCTCTGCCACTGCAGCCTCATCAACTTCCCTCTCATGGCTCTGCTCCAAGCTGTCTATTCCCTCAACCTGAATGCATCTCACAACTGTGACCATAACACTTGGATGCGCCAGTCTCCTTCCAAACTCCAAAGCCTCGCGGTCGTCGGGTCCACCCTCAAACAAAACGCACACCCTCTTTGAAATGGCGGCACTTGAGGGCGCTGCACGCCTCTCAGGTCTGCCACCAAATCCACGATCCACAAACAATGCCACCGAGCAATTTGCACTGCTTAATACCCTCTGATTGACCCCTCTCCAATCGTGCCCCAAATTCTCCATTGTCTCTTCACCCTCTGTTCTGCACTGTCTGTTAAAAGGCAAGATGATGATCGACACCCTCTTTTCTTCCGCGACGTGGAGTATGTCCTGGTGCATTGTGGACAATGCCGAGATGGCCGTCGTGTGGCGGATGGTGACTTGACCAACTCTACCATACGCCTCAAATGCTGCCGGGATTTGGTCCTGCGAAACCCCTTGACATAAGCGGTTGATGAAGGGAAAACCATTTTTCCGAACACGGTGTACCATCATAATCGAAGATGAACGATCAGTGAGCTCAACAAGATGCATGACGTAAACTTTGAGTGGCGGTGAGTTTTCGGAGGCGGTTCCGGTTGACTCTATGAGGTTGATGAGGGAGGGTACGCTTCCGGGGCCATGAATGCAAGCAAGGATTCGAAGATCCTTTTGTTTCTTTGAGCTTTTGGTTGGAGAATGTAAGAGACGGGGAGTTGGAGAAGCAATGACGTCCCGTGAGGGATTGTAAATGGCCATCACAGCTGGAGTTGTCATGAAGGTGGTGAAAAGTGCCATCAGAACTAAAATAGCAAACATCTCGTCGTTTAGAATCTGCAAAGCGAAGTTTCCAAAAGTTAATCCCCCAAGGTGGTAATAACAGGACTAGATAGCAAACAAACATAGATGGATGGACAGTGAACACATCCCTCAGGCCATCTCCAACGCACCGGAAACTCAAAATCCAAATTTGACTCTTATTATCAAAACCAAAAACCCAAACTCAAATTTTGGGTTTGAATATACTTAAAACCCATATACTCGCTTGAACTGTAACTCTATAATACGGTTAACCGCACTAAAGGATAATTAATTTTTGCACTCATCGTTGACCGACATGTATTGATGGGACGATCGACAAGACACAAAATTGATTATCCGCAACTGTATTATTATAGAACAATTATAAGTCTTAAGGTCCATCACTTTTGCACTCGAGAATTTGAGTATGAGAATATGGGTTATTGCATTGGAGATAGAGATGAAATTCACTTATTCAAGCAGATCTTGTCTTTGTAAGAGATGTAGCTTATGGAGTTTATAGATATATGGTCTCTTTAATTGTGTTATTATCTACCACATTACTGAAAATACACGTACCTTCTTTTCCTTTCCAATATTGAGAACAATGAGCTCTACCAACCCTTTGGTGTTCATCAACACACCCAAAGCCAATGACTCTCTTACTGGTATCTTACACAACATGGCAACCAAAAACGTTCCCAAAATCTTCCCTGTGCAGGACACTGATATCACCAAAGCCAACAGCCCCCATGCCTTGACCCCTTGAATTTTAGCCACATCCGTCCTCAACCCACTTGAAGCGAAGTAGAGAGGGAGAAGCAAACCAGACACAAAATCTTCAATCCTTTTGGTCAGTTTGGCTTCAAACTCACCCCCCTTTGGGACCGTTAACCCGAAAACAAAAGCTCCGAATATGGCATGGACACCGATCAGGTCTGTCGTAAACCCGGATATCATTACCCCGGCTAGGGTTAAGCAGATGTAGGCCTCGTCCACTAAGCCATCATTGGATGAGCTGCGTTTGGCTACCCAGTTCATGAAGGGCCTGACCAAAGTTAGCTGAAAAGCAACAAAAGCAACACCTGAAATGAGAACCCAAAGGGATACTAAGGGGCTTTTGTGGTTCCCTCCGGCTAAGGCCACGGCCAATGCCAGCAATATCCACGCAGCGACGTCGTTGAAGGCTGCTGCTGCCATTGCTGTTTCGCCAACGCGAGTTGTGAGCAGTTTGAGCTCTGCTAGGATGCGTGCGAGGACAGGGAAAGCGGTGACGGAGAGAGCTACCCCAATGAACACAAGGCACTGAGCGTAGCCCACTTTGTTCTCCCCATGGATGGCTTTGCGCATGAGGAATGTGACCCCTACTCCGAAGAGAAAGGGGAGGGAAATGCCTGAGAGAATTTGAAGATAAAAGTCTGAAAATTTGAGTGAAATGTACTAAAAGAAAATATTGGAAAATATATTGTATCAGAATGAAATTTGGAACATGCCTGCAATGGCTATGGTGATGGCTTTTCTGCCACTGCGGCGAATGGAGCTCAGATCAAGCTCAAGGCCTACAAGAAATAAGTAAAAGAGAAGGCCAATGCTTGCTACAGATTCGAGTATGGGGGTGCTCCATGAAGGGAATATGATCTGCAAGAAGTGTTTGTTCCGGCCAAGTGCTGAGGGTCCCAACAAAATCCCACCCTGAATTGTACGCAAGAAAGTAAAAGCAAACATTCTTTTCAGTCATGCACAAAAGAAAAAGAAAAAAAAACAACGTAGTTTTAGACATAAGCACGCATATATCAGCAAAAAAAACAGTACTAATATTTCAGCGATGACTTTAGGTTGGCGTAGTGGCTTGAGAAGTAAGGCGAGGAGGCGGCTAACAAAGAGGATGAGAGTGGTTTGAACTATCAACAATGGGAAGGCATGGTGCAAAGGGTTGTCACCTTGCCAAGCTCCATCTGATGAAGTACTCATAGTGGTTATGTTGAGCTCCATGGTTGGTGGTAATTGAAAGTTAGATTGACTTTGAACCCTAAATGACTGGCGTCTTTGTTCTTCACAATGGTGAATTGAAATTAAATAAGTAGGGGATGATTGATTTTTATTGACGATAAGAGAAGTACCAAGTGGTCTCAAGTCAAACCTAGCGCCACACCCACCCTGTTTACATGTATAAACAATACTGCCTCCAACTAGAAGGCAGATAATTGCTCCTCCCACTTAAGTCAAGTTTGTTTGTTTATTGTTTGTTATGTTATGCGCCACCAATTAATCAATCCAGTGCCAATCATGTTGCTTCTTAATGAATCCCTTAATCATTGCTTTGCTTTGTCATTAAATTTCTAAACTCTGAATCATTAGCTTGGATCTTTTCTTCAACTACCGTCATAAGTTGATAACAAAACCTAATCTCACATATTTTTTGGACAAGGAAACTTGTAACAAAACAATACACTTTATATGATGAACAAGTTAATTACTTTTGGTCACACAGTTTCCTTAGAAATTTCAGGCACATTGCTGGAAGATTCTTCTGCTACGAACCTTTCGTAGTCACGGTGCAGTATCTTTGACATGGGAGCCTCCACGGCGTGGGTTACGTCATGTCGTTGAATCACAAGGACTGATGAGACCACACCATGGTCTGATGAGGCCAATATGTCTCCAACAGGGCCTAACTCCGCATGCTCTGCTTGCCGGTCTGCCAATTCTGCTACCATGGCTGATGGGAACCTCCCTTTTCCCACGACCAATAGGTCTTGATCTCCACTTCTTCCTATGGCCAACACCCCCTCTATAATGTTATTGGCTCCCACTTTCTCTATGTACTCTGCTTCCCCATCCCACTTGCTTCTGAACTCAGCCATTGCACCCTCATCGAGTTTCTGATGATCAAATTTTACCATAAATTAGTACATACTGAAAAAGTTAAACGAGCTAAAATTGTGTGATTTGACTAATCTTTTAGTGTAACACGGAGAGGGTGATGTGACGAATGTGTGGTTATAGATGGAGGACATATTGCAACGTGACTAAATTGTAGTTAGGCACAAATACCTTTTCTTTCTCTCTGTCCATTTTAGATGTGGAGAAGCTGTAGCTATTATCAGTGGACTTGGAGGGTGAGGGCTTCAACATAACCCCATGAGGCCCATTACTCTCCAAGCCCTCTTTCTCAACGAATTTCACAATTGTCACTTTAACTGCCGGGTGTTCGGCCATCCTACCACCCAACTCCAAAGCCTCACGATCATCAGGACCACCGAAAAAAATAATGCAAATCCGTTGGGTTAGGATGGTTGTAGGCCCAGGATTTTGT